TTTCAATCTATCTGTAGGGAATGAACCAGGGGAAGCTTTGAAGGGGTATACAATTTGGTTTAGAAAACCTCTAAATTCCTTACAATCACCTCCAAAACGAGGGGGAGGTGAAAGGGTTATGGATGGAGGTTTGTGTGCCACAGGTGCTACCACAGGTGGCGGAGCTATAGGTGATACCGGAGGTGCCTCCAGATAGGCAGTTCTCTGGACACAGTAAAATGGTCTTATAGTCACATTTAATTGAGCAGGAACTACAGCTCAGTTTTCAAGATACAGATGGTATAATCCTAACTTGGTAAATTGTTCTCCGAAGATGTAGATAGGTGACCAGGATGAAAAAATTTTATAAAAAAGGTATATGGCACATATGGAAGATAAAAATTGCCAATATTCCTTTAATAATCAAAATAGTTATTAAAAACAAACCAAATGGTTATGGCAACACAGGGCTTCATCAAGTGCTAAGAAAAACATACAACCTGGCACATAGGAGTATATATAGGAATCCTTACTATACAATTTTAAATATTGGTGCCAAAATGACGATATAAGCAGGAGACAGGAAGTGAAATTATAGTATTTGGGAAATAAATAAGTAAAATGTCAATATAAGAATTAAATAAACACATTTTATAATAGGTAGCTTATAGCTATTATTATTTTTTTTTTTTAAAACAAGTGTCGGAAGCATATAAAATTTAGGTTAAAAGGACGATCACATGACGTGGGGTCGTAGAGCCATGTCACGTGATTGACCGCAATGCCCCATGGGATTTGTATGCAGATCCACAACTTCAGACGAACTGGACCAAACTGACATCCATAAGACGTGAGCTATCTACATTTCTAAATGTCTCCTACCATAGGAAATACCGACAAACATTTACAGCAACGCAAATAAATGCGGCTCTTTACTGGCCTGCATGAAAGCAAAATGGAGAGGGATCTCCTATATCCCCAGGATAAGGTGGGCAGATGGCAGTCTGACATACTTACCACCTGACCAGCTAAGGCATCTAACTACGCAAACCTCTACTCTCTTCCAAACCAACCACCAGGACAGGGTGGTAGTCCGCATGACGTTAGCTGGATCCAAAATGCCTCACTAGGAAGGCAACACAAGAACTTGAAGAGCCCTTTACTCTAGAGCAGGGCTGTCCAACCTGCGGCCCCCCAGATGTTGCTGAACTACAATTCCCACGATTCCCTGGCTATCTGTTTAATTGAAAGAATCATGGGAGTTGTAGTTCAGCAACATCCAGGGTGCCACAGGTTGGACAGGCCTGCTCTAGAGGAACTAGCATTTGCCCTTAAGACAACAAATATGGGTAAGAGCCCAGGCCCAAATGGACTCCCCCAGCTTCTTAAAGCCTATAATTCCATAAAGGGACAACAATGGGCTCACTAGCCACAGAGTCACTAGCCGCCAATATAACACTGATTCCCAAAGAGGGCAGGGACACTGACCGGTGTACAAACCATATGCCCATTTCCTTACTGAATTGCGATCTCAAATTATTTACCAAAATCCTGTTTACGCACCTACAACGGTTCCTCCCTAATTTGGTCCACCAGGACCAAGTTGGGTTTGTCCCTAAAAGAGAAGCAGGGGACAACATGATCTGGCGCTGTCCTTAATCCACCACGTGCAACAGAGGTCGGAGGGCCTTCTCCTGCTCTCCACAGACGCTGAGAAGGCCTTCGACAGTGTCAACTGGGACTTCCTGTTTGCAGTCCTGAAGTCTCTGGTGATAAGACCTTTCATGCAAGGCTGGATACAAGCCCTATATACATGATTCTCAGTCCTAAATGGCACAAGACAGGGCTGCCCCTTTCGACTCTGTTCTTTGTCCTTGCCCTCAAACCCTTCAAACCCCCAGATACATGGGTTACAAGTGAGATACAACACACACTCAGTGGAGGCATTTGCCGATTTCTTGCTATACTTTATAACAAAGCTTGAGATATCACTTCCTACAATCATGACAGAATTTGTAAAATATATGGCAACATATCTAATCTCAAGATAAACTATACAAAATCGACTATACTGAATATCTTCATACCGAAATCGTCAGAGAAAGAAATATGAAATAAATTTCCCTTCAAATCCCTGGCTTTCCAGAGATCTCACACAGCTCTACCAGGCGAACGTCCACCCAATACTGACCATGGTACATAGAGACCTAGAGGACTGGTCAATGCCTGGTACAGTAGGGTAGAGATCATAAAGATGACCCTCTTACCCCGAATCATATACCTTTTCCAGACACTACCTATCACCATCACTTTTTTCACTTCCCTTTGCTTCCTGGTCCTAAAACTTATCTGGTGCAAAATCAAAGCTCAAATAGGTCATGACACGCACCTTCCTGATGACCCTGAAGGTTGAGGCCTTGTTGCTAAGATGGCCGCCCCAGAGCCAGGGACGCCACCCCGCAGGCATCTCCATGTGTGGAATCTTAACTAGTGGCGTTTGATCCTGTCTGTGCATCTTTCTGAGCGATGCTCAATGCACTTCAACAATTAAAAAATTTATGAAAAAAAATAAGATTTTTTTTAAGTATTCATTAATCTGTATTATGTATGAATTTTGGTCACTACGGCAATACCATTTCTGCGAAATGCGTGTTTCGGTTGTGCTCAAATTCCTTTTTGTTTTTACCACATATTAGCCTGAGGCAGGAGGGCAACTCTACCTCAAACTCATGCTGTGAATGCCTTCAGATACCATGCAGAGTGCATTTGGTGCTTTCCAGACCTGGGATTCAGCTGACTAGGCTCCTCACCAACACATCGAATGTCCTTTGCTTCTAATGTTTGCCATCTTGCTTATCTTCTTTCCTTTGATCTGATATGTTATTTTAGTGTTCTCTTGCTCTACCACTCTATATCAAGGTCACACTAGTTTGGTTGTGGGGTCCACATCTGTGGTAACCTCATTTGTATCTGTCTGTAATGCTCCTGCTGAAAATTTAGTTAATTGGAACTCAACCACAGGTTAATGAAAGATTCAATTCTGTCACTTTAAGAAAACATAATTTATTTAAATAAAATAACTTCACCTTGGCAGACTTTTATAGCAATAAGGTCTTGAAATAAAAATGCATGAATGATAATCTTGTTTAGAAATGGCATTGAAAAACAAAAGAAATGGGGGCGTGTCCTAACCGCACATGTGAGCGGACGCGCAAAAACGGAGCTCTCCCGACCCATGGCATTAAAGCGACTTTAACAGCAAGCTAAACCCTGCCAAACGAGCAGAAAACTTACATACAGACAGGTAACACACTCCTGTACTACATGGCCACGAAAAAACTAAAACAGAAAACCCTAAACTCTCATTTAGAGAGGCACCAAACCTCGGAGCAAAAAATCCAAGATGGCGCAGACGGACAGCACTCACCTGCCCATAGCTCTGAGGCACGAGACAGCCATCAAGAGCAAAACAGTCCAGCAACAAACTCACCTATCAGGCTAATCATGTCTAATTAAAACTGATCTCTTGTAAATGACTGCAGACATCCACAGCATGGAGGAGCGCACTACCCGCCTGGAAGACAGGACAGAGGAATTAGTGGAGGCACACAACTTCATGGCAGAGGCCTACACAGCCTTAGAAAACAAAATAAAATAATTGGAAGAAAAGGTGGCCAATCAAGAAGACAGGAGTAGAAGAAACAACATCCGCATAAGGGGCATACCAGAGTCTATAACACAACAAGACCTACCCAGGTATGTCAAAGACCTGTTCAAAGCCTTGATCCCCGCCCTGTCTGAATTCGACCTAATACTAGACAGAACCCACAGACTTCCCAAGCCTAAACATCTCCCACCTGACACTGCAAGAGACACCATTACTAGAGTGCACCACTTCACTGTCAAAGACAGGATTATGCAAACAGCCAGAACCACAAGCAAATGGCCAGAAAGCTATTCACTGACCTCTCCTCAGCAACCATGCTTAAACGCTGTACATTTGAACCAATAACAGAAGCGCTGAGAAACGCAAATAACCCCTACAAATGGGGCTTTCCCGCAAAACTACTAATCAAAAGAAACAGCGTAGACAAGCCCATCATGAACCCAGAAGACGGCAAAAGAATGTTACAGGAATGGAACATACCATTCCTAACCAACAGTCCTCGGAAGAAACAAACAGCGGCCCAGGCACCAAAAACGCTCTCCAAGGAATGGTCGCAAGTGCCCTGAGCATCCCAGGCAATAACGGATCCAGAAACGTCACCGACCTGAGCGACACACCGGACAAAGCCACATCATACATATTAGAATGGACTTAACGTACAGGTTTACACCGCTTTCACTTTATGTTTAGAACGGTTATTTGTCTTAGGACCCCTTGAAAAGGTTGACAGAAGGCCACAGGCCTCAGCCACGATGGGTGGGTATCACCCGGACGCACTACGCTCAGACTTAGTCTATTGCAGATCTCATACTAATCAGGATCTCAATACTCCAACCCTGAGTAATACACCCCCAAGGCTCCAGTAGCCCCACTTCTCTGTTGTTTAAGGCAACCAAATGTCAGTGAGAAGTGACTTACAGAACATTGTATATAGTTTTTCCCCCATTTTTTCCCCTTTTTACTCCATCCCCTTACAGTGTGTGTCACACAACCATAATATGCCTACTATACTGGGTTACCGAGTTCCCAGAGCACCCGGGACCGCAAAGCCCTCTGGTACTGACCAACCCAACTACATAATTATAGCTATCAATATGTCTAAGAAATACAAACCTTTAACACGGCGCACTATGCAGTGGCCCAATGGTGATTAAAATTATGTCACTCAATACCAAAGGGCTTAACTTCCCCAACAAATGGCGACTGGCCATACAAGAAGCAAAGAAATGTGGGGCCCAAGTGGCATTTTTTCAGGAGACGCATTTCAAATGGAACTCCAGACCCAAATTTACCTCGAAATAGTATCCTAACGATTTCCACACATGTTATTTAGCTAAAAAAAGAGGGGTCTCCACTTTGATAAGCAAAGATGTTGCATTCTCATTAGTTCGATATCTAATTTTGCAATGTATGTTGAACAATGTACCATATACCTTGATTAATGTGTACGGCCCAAATGAAAATCAAAATGAATTTTTTCCAACGATTCTAGCTTTAACAGATGTGCACAAACATGGGGAGGTAATCATTGGGGGAGACACCAACTTTTTATTAGACAGCAGAGTAGATTCTTCCACCACTGCACTGATTGCGAGTTGCACACTCAAACACAGAACAACACTATCGACAAAAATATGCTCCACCCTGACCATCACCTACAAGGTAGACGCGTGGCGCATTCTACACCCAACAGAAATAGATCATACATGCCACATGGCAGCTCACAACAGCTATTCATGAATAGACAGATTCCTCATGCCCATTACATCGATGCCCCAAATAGAAGAAGCCACGATCGGAGTAATGACATTGTCCAAATACTGTCCCATCACACTTAGCATTAAAGAATCATTCAACAACAAAGGGTCAGGCTCATGGAGACTTAACAAATCTCTTCTCACAGACCCGTCTATAGTCTCCCAGATAACGAAAGACTTACAAAACTATATTGCTGAAAACACAACCGCTGACTCAACAATCGAACAAATTTGGTTAGTCATAAGAGGCAGCTTTATAAAACATGCCAGTTATGCTAAAAAACAGAGAACAGCAGAGTACACCAAACTCTTAGAAGAAATCCGAACCCTAACACACTCTAACAAAAAAGAACCACAAACTGCCACAAAAGCCAAACAAGTTAAAAAAACATCGAACTAGCTAAAACTACATACTTACTCAGGAGAATCAAACACAATTTTTTCACGAGTGGCAACAAAGCTGGTTCTATCCTAGCATCACAACTTAAACGAAGGAATGTCGCCTCCAGGATTGCCTTCCTAAATAACGCTAAGGGCAAGAAAATTACGAACCCCCAACACATTGTAGACCAATTTGCTCAATACTACGGAGAACGATATAATCTTAAACATGACCCTGACGTTGTGATACCAGCCCCAGACAAAATAGACGAATTCCTGTCTAATTTAAACCTACCCAAGCTATCAGAGAATGACCTAACACCCCTATAACAACCCTTCTCCCTTGACGAACTCACAACAGCAATTTCACAACTTCCAGCACACAAATCACCGGGCCCTGATGGCCTAACAAATGAATACTATAAAACCTTCTCACCGACAATAGCTCCACTACTCCTACAACTAGTAAACCAATGTGCCACAGAAGGCACACTGCCAAAAGAAATGCTCTTAGCACATATTACTACTCTTCCCAAGCCAGGCAAGCCCCCCACACACTGCAAAAACTTTCGGCCCATCTCCCTCCTATACGCCAAACTATATGTGAAACTGATCAGTAACCGCCTTGTTCCCCTCCTGCACAAAATAATCCACAATGATCCATCTGGGTTTATACGAGGCTGCCAGGGCTCAGATAACACTAGAAAAATCCTAAACATGATATCCGCATTAGAGTCTAAAAAAACAAGAGGCCTTCTCCTTGCTTTAGATGCGGAGAAGGCCTTTGATCGCCTAAATTGGGCTTACATGACCAAAGTCTTATCACAATTCAACTTTCCCACATCTACCATAACAAGCATCATGGCATTATACCACCACCCGGAAGCAAAGGTTTCGAATGGAACTCGTCAGAGATGCCCCTCTTTTGTATATACTGGCCCTAGAACCCCTGGGCCAAAAGATCCGATTACACGCCAAGATACTAGGCGTCAACATCCACCACAAGATGTACACCTTAGCTTTGTTTGTGGATGACATCTTTATAGCACTGTCAGACCCAAAACGCTCTCTCGATCCCCTACTAGACTTACTACAGCAATTTGGTAACATCTCATACTACCGCCTGTATCAGGACAAGACCCAAGCCCTGCCCCCTAAACTTACCAAGGTCCCTGTTAAAAACACTCTATGCCTCCTACCAGTTTGACTGGAAATCACACTCAATAACATACTTAGGGGTGAAGATAGCACCCTCACTATCCGCTACTTCACAACTAAACTATAAACCTCTTCTAACACTATGCAAGCCAGAAATGAACAGATGGAAACATACCAGAATCTCCTGGTTAGGAAAAATAAATACATGCAAAATGATGATTATTCCACGCATCCTCTATATTTTCAGAATGATACCCATTGGGATCACACCCCAGTACTGCAAAGTGTTACAAAAACTATGTGGAACTTTCATCTGGGGTGGTAAAAGACCCAGAGTGTCCTAGGCACTCCTCCAGACTGCACCACGACTGGAGGAAGTGGGACTCCCTAACATCAAGCAATACCACAGAGCAGCAATACTTTCAACTGGTATACTTCCCCATACCCAACCCGGTACGCTACAGTGGGTTGACATGGAAAGAGCACAATTTAAAGACATACCTTTAACTGATTACCTGTGGAAACCAAAGAGGTTTAGACCCAGACGCACTCAACTCACAATATCCCTATGGGACATTTTCATGGAGTCGATTGGCAATAAAGACACATTACAAGCTAAATCGCCAATCTCAGTCCTAAGATATTAATCAATGTGTCTATTAAGAAATTAACCACATATTCATTATTTATTCCCTTTCTCTTCCCTCTTTTATATATTTAATTGAAGTAGGTATTGAGTTTCATTATACACTCTACTAGAATGAGTTATATGTATTGTTATCATTTTCCATCTAAAAGTGTAAAACGAAAATGTTTGAATTATTGTATTTAAATATGTTAGCCTATATATCCAATTCACATTCAAGTCCTCTGGTATATATATATATATATATATATATTTTTATATGCAATCTTTTTTAAAATATTGTTTATATATTTTTTATGTATTTATATTATACAGTAAGATTTGCACTAAATAAGATATAATGTCACTTTAAGGGCGATAAATAGTACTGCCCCTTTAAATAAGTGATGAATCAAATAGCTTTCTCTTATAGCTTTCTTTTGTGTATTTGTTATTAATTACTAGAATATGTAATCAATTTGTATTCCTTTATATTTGTCATTAGGCTCTGTTTTGTATTTTACTGAGTTTGTGAATTAATACATATATATACTCTTAAATTACACTCACATTGCCTTTAATATGAATTTCACTGCAATTGGGACAATTTGAAACAACCTATCAAAAGAGACTTTACCGTTTATATGCCCACAACCAACATGGTGGTTATGAACACGTCCTGAGGAAGCCGCTATACGGCAAAACGTGTTGACGTCACACAAGGGGGAGGAGCTTGTTACATACGGAACTCGGAGCGGTCTTTTGGAAACTTTAATCAAAGTATTTGATCCACAATTCAGCCGAGCCGGAAAAGTGCCCTACAGCCTGCCTACCACCCTATCATTACAAGCTGATTTAGTGAGTTACAGCGTAAGCCTGTTTAACTCACCACCATATCTAGTAAGGGGCTAACCACCCTCCTTATCTTTTTTATTCTTTTTACTATTTTTTTTTCTGTATTTATTTTATGATCTCATATTCTGCATGTAGCAGACAATAAATTCATGTCATTTTTTTTTATTTGGCTGTTTAAGCCCATCATTGTTATGATGATATATAATTTCATACATGATGAGATGAATAAGGAATTTATTAAGCAGATGTGAGGTGCTTTATCAATCATTGTTAACCATCTGCACTATCATTGTATTTTTTTATTTTTTTCCTTTGCATATTACCATAATTATTTGGAGGAACCATCTAACATTTAAGGAGTTTGTATACCATTCTCTCCATTGTCTCTAAGTGGTGTTTCATTTTGCTCCACTCATTATTACACACTGTCTCTCGTTGGTGGATTTGGGGATTACACCAGAGTGTGAAGCAACTGTTTACACCTAATACCTGTTTAGCACCCAGATTTTTCCTATTTTTCTCTAAAAACAATCATACCAAACATCTCCCTCAAAGATTGGAACGACGCAGGGCTAACAAAAATATCGCAACTCCTAGACACCAAAGGCATAATCCCATTCCCGGTTTTACAAAAACAATGGCAGGTCCCGAACAGAGCAATTTTCTCATATTTACAACTAAAAAGTGCTTTACTGGCACACGCATCCCCACTATACAAACCACCCGACCCAGCCAGAACCACCGCATATTTACTCCATCGCCTACAAATTTGAAAAATAACAGAAATGAGAAAGTACATAACTGGCAAAAATCAATATAGTCCATGAGACTTCAAAATAGCAATTCGACAGCACAGGTGGTTTTTGTAATAGGAAGGAGCACAATCCTTTTAGGAATAAGTGAAGAAATAAGTTGATCCTGATGGTAGGAATGGAAATAGTCACTTAGACTCCAAAATAAGGAATAACTTATATGAGCAATTATAAATGAAAGTTCTTAGCATACAGCAAATAAAATCCCAGAGGCAGACTTTAGAATCCCTTACTTCTGATTAACTACAGATAATGAACCGATTATAAATCCCAGTATAAGAGAACTTATCTTGCTGGTTGATGAGCATGAGAGTCTTTCCTGGATAATGTGCATTTTGGTTCCTTGAAGTATGAGGAGATTACAGGGATCCAAATTGAAGGCTGTTCCTTATAGGGAGTGAAGAGAAGAGAGTTGTCAGGATCAAAGCCAGAGGTTCGGTACACAGGAATACAGTTGTAGAGCTCCATCGGCAGAATGGAATCAGAGCACATCAAAGACCAGCATTGATTCAAAGCACATCAAAGACAAGCATTGACTGAGCGATTAGGATGCGGGTGTGGCTTTCTTTTAAAGGGAAGCGTGTGACATCAGACGCATGGGCATGAACGGATTGGCGAAACCTAGAAATCATACGGGTTATGCAAATCAGACTCAAAACAACATGGAGGTATTATGGAATAACATGGAGGAATCCTGACACTGCCAGGAATCCTGATACTGCCTAGCATGGGATTAATTTATGTGTATTACCAAGTTTAGATATTGCTGTCTCGTGTTTAGCTATGTGTGACTGATGTACCAATGTCTAGCATATGACAGGTTTACCTTCTTGCTTATCCTCTTTCTCAATATTATTTTTAATGCCCATCACACTGTCTAGGCCATTCCTTCTGATTGCACCTTGTGTTTTACAAAATGCTCTAGACATGTATGTATAGGCTGTGTTTAACATTCACTATTTTACTATAATGTG